GACTGTATCCAGCATAGTGCGGTATCAGTCACTCCATAAGAGTATTCCAGACGTTTATAAAGTATGCCATGGTCGATGACGTCAAATGCAGCTGACAAGTCCAGCATGACAAGCACCGCTCTGCACTTGTTATCCAATGCAGAAGCTATATCACTATGTACACGTAGGAGGGCCGTCTCAGTAGAGTGTCCCATGCGGTAGGCCGATTGCATGTTGTCATGGAGACTGTTTGCATGGAGATGAACCTCTAAACGCCGGGACACAACCTTCTCCAAGATCTTAGACAGAAAAGGCAGATTTGAAACTGGGCGGTAGTTTTTCAACTCCTCCTTGTCCATTCCAGGCTTTTTTTACAATGGTCTGACATGTGCCTTCTTGAAACATAATGGAACCTTTGACTCAACCAATGATTTGTTCATGATTGCGGTAATCAAAGGAAGCAGTGCTTCAAGACACTGCTTTAATAGGTCTGTAGGCAGTGGATCAAGCTCACAGGACTTAGATTGAGAGGTCATGATAATGTTGCGCAACTCGTCCTGGATTGTTGGTGAGAGCTTTGTCAATGGTTCACCATCAAATGCAATGTCAGCAGTCATGACAGAGATGTCAATGTCAGCAAAGGTGTTCACTTCGGTAATATTTTTCCTGATTGAGCTGATTTTATTCAGAAAGTAATCACTAAACTTGTCTTTTTCAGAATTACAGCTTGGTAGGATAATTTCACCTTTCTGTCCCATGAGGTTTTTGGTGAGTTTGAAAAGTTGTCTTTTATCCTTGCCACATTCTTCGATTTTTTCCGAATAATAAGCCTTCTTTGACTGAAAGAGCAGTGAACCAGCTAGCCGACATTGCTCTCTATAAATCAGTTGGTGAACGGTTAATTTGGTCCGTCGCCACTGTCTCTCTGCTTGTCTACGTTTCTGTTTTTCCACGCGGAGATTTTCATTATACCACGGGGCATTTGGTCTCACAGTTATCACCTTAGTTTGCAGAGGTGCGTGTTTCTCTATAAGGGCTTCTATACCAAATGTGTATGCTTCAACAAGATCATCAATCTCGCCTTCAGTAGATTATTACAATTCAGTGTTGTGTGGACAGCAAGATGATCACCAGATTGGTTTCCCTTTACATCACTTAGACATGGACCAATCACTGAAATAGCTCCATGAATGACTGAGTTATCTTCCCTCGTTATGACCACATCCAGTGTGTGGCCATGGGTGTGTGTAGCGTCTGTCACATGCTGAATCAGACCCCTGGGATCTAGTAGACCAGAGAACTGGCGAGCATCAACATTAGATAGATCGTCTAAGTGGAAATTTAGATCACCCGTGATAATAATCTCTTGTGGTACAACAACTTGGTGGTCTAAAAAGGTAGACCATTCATCAAAAAACACTGTATTTCGGAAAGCATTCTGTTTAGATGGTGGAGGCCTGTAAATGATACACAATCTAAATTGTTTATCACCAGCAATGACAGAACAAGTTATGTGCTCAAAGTGTGTGTATACAGCATCATGGCTGGAAGAGAGATGTCTCACACTTAGGCCTTTCTTAAACAGAACAGCCACCCCATCACCACGGTTGCCGAGTCTAGCATTGTGATGGAATTCATAGCCTGTTGGTATTAGCTCAGCTAGGACCTGGTCATCGATATCTGAACCTAACCAGGTTTCTGTCAATGCAAGAATGTCAATGTCCTGAGATGTTACAAAATCCCCGATGAACAATGACTTTTTCTTCACTGAGCGACAGTTTAAGGACACTATATTAAGAGGAATAACTGACTTACAGTGACCAGCTGTTGTTGGCTTGATGACATGTAAATTCTCGAACGATACTGATGATGTCGGAATCCGTGTGGAAGTATCGTTACGAGAATGCACAATAGTGTCGATGCCCGATACTTCTGTAAGCGCAGTTTGGCCCTGCAAGAAAGAGTGCGAGGCAGACAGACCATTTGTAGTGACCAAATGGATGAGGTTATCAGTGTTAAGGCCCAAGTTGGTAAAACCACTGGTTCCGTTTGATTTAACACCGATAACAATTGGTATTCGCCTAACAGCACCCTTTCCTGCCCGTGTCCCACGTCTAGTGCGCCAGTTTTTCTCCGAATTTGATGCCTTAAAATCCTCTAAAAGATGTGTTGTAATATTATTACTCATTGGTCTAAGTGCCAGGAGAACAGATCTACTATATTTAAACATATATGAATGTACAACTTCTAGTATTTACAACATAAGAGAAACAAGAACAAACACAAAATAGTAGTACAATAGTACAAAATGTCAAAGAAGATATCTACCAAATGTCTGATTTTGATACCGATACTGGAATTGGACTCACTCACATTGCCCATGGCATCAGAAAATTACTACAAACGGCATCAGAAAGTTTTATTCAGATCTTAGAGTAATAACGTTACTATTCTGAATTGCTATCAAGAATCATTAAGTCAAAATATAATACTGATATTGATCTAAGTACTATAAATTATTTGCATTTGTGCTGCAGGCCTGCTGGTGGTCCCAATTTTAATTTGTGCCTCTTAAATTAACGAGTTGACACATTTGTAACGATATGTCTCTTACAAATCTAAAATATGACGATTCACAAAATTTGTCCTTAAAATTGTATTTATGTATCAACTTTCCAGAAGAAAAACAATAATGTTTCACGAGCAGATGATCGCGTTTATATAAGCAAGAATGAACAAAATCCGTGCGAGGATACCGAGATGGTTTAGATATATTGGGCAAAAATTGACGGTAAAACAAAGATGGCGTCTATCCAAGCCCAGATATTTTTTGATTTTTGTTTTTTTTGGTTGATTGATTTTTTACCACAATGATAATTACAGTTTTTGTATTATGTAAGTCAAATGTGAAAAGAATGTTTCAAAAAGTACAAATATGAATGATAAATTTTATTTTACAGACGTCACTTCGTCACAACAACATCAACAAAATGTAGACAACTCGCCCAGATATACGAAAATTAAAATCCAAAAATTACGACAAAGTTTCAAATTCAAAAACTCTAATTATAGACGAGAATGATCTCAAACAACTTAAATGACGTAGTGACGCAAAGGGGAGTTAACTCCAGCGTAACCCTTACTTTACAATACAATAACGTTTGTATATTGTCATATAACATGTACGTTACTTTGTCAATCTTCAATGAATGCATATATGTATTGTTCTGTTTGGGAATCTTCGATTCGGCGGAAATAAAGAGAATAATAATGACAATGTGTTAATTCTTAAAATGCATGAACATTGAGCTACATGTGTGATGAAACAGAGACATATTACGTAATATATACGTGTCTGGTTGAAGTGACAGAACATGATCAACAATTAAGACATTCGCTATGATAAAATAATGTTGCCCTCTCACGAATGTAATATTCATATACTGTTCAAGGTTAATAATGAGGCTGTTTGAAAAATAAATGGAGCTGCAAGCTGCCTGTATGGTGTAGAATTACCGCGAATCCGATACACAAAGAAAGATCGGTCAGTATTATATGCCAACGGACCTAAACCTGCGAAAGGATTAGCGAGTCTACCAGTACGCGTCATTCTAATCCCCTTTATCTAAATATAGCTTGTGTCGCTAGGCCTATACGTATCGGTTCCGTAGACTGGCCACCAGCCCCTAAGTTTTTATGAAGAATTTCTCAGCTGCATTTTACTACTAGCTTATCTCCCCCTAGTTTAGAATCAGACATCCGCCAAGCAGGGATGTGTAGAAGTGATCAAATTTTTTTGAGTTAAACATTTTTCTTACTAATTCAATATTCTAGAGACGGTGGCCAGGGATCTATCATTGGTGTAAGTTTGAAGCGTTTGCCTATTACCGTTCATGAGATATGCGCAGACGCATATTTGGGGGAAATCAAAATAATAATAAGAACTAAAATTTGTTTCGGCGGGCGTTCAAAGTTAGGAATCGTTGCAGAAGAGATACATGTATATGTTGCAAGGTGCATACCACTGACCATACCCCTAGCCCCCACCTCTACGTGCTGAGTTTTGAAATTGGCAACATTAACATACCCTTTTCCGAAATGACATAAAGCAGAAATATGTACGCTTCTATTTACTTTCTGGTTTTCTTACTAAATGCCTTCGTTAGGTAAATACAAACACCTTAGAACACAACGATGTTTCACTACAAAGTCTCTTGTTCAGCCGCCATATTCGCAATACAATTTCGTCAGTCTGCAAAACTTTTAATCTAATTCCGTGGTTGTATGAAAAGCATTAACTTGAAACGATTTCTCTGATTGGTCAGTGCATTTACTATTCTTACGCGTTAGATGTGAATTTTAACGCGTTAAAAGTCACTTCTAACGCGTTACTCTTTTAACGCGTTACTGTATATCGTTTTTGGCCCGAACCGCCACCCATAATCTAAGTCCGTAGTGATGTATTTATATTGCATGCGTTAATAATAAGATGGCGGAGACGAATTTGCACCACTAGATATAGAAGATTTTAAAGACAGTCGTGTTCTTATTGTATTGTCCAGAGACGTATATACGTCTCTGTATTGTCTAACGAATTCCAAAGACGTAAACTCGATGACAGAAAAGAGGAGCTGCTTGAATAGAGTTTGAATGACAAATGATTTAGCTAATAATTTCCAGTAACCTAATTCCTGTAGGAACTCTATCTAAATCAGAGATTTCTATCGTTATAAATCTCTGAATTAGATAGTTCCTACAGGAATTACCAGTAACATTGTCTGAAAAAAGACAGTGTCACCAGTAAATGGGGAAGTAAATCGTAATAATTAATGTTTTCTACGTGGTGCATTTCATTAAATGAATTGACTGCAAGGACACACACATAGTCCCCCCGAATATCAACTTTTTCAGGTCTTGTGAAAGTCTACAACAGGAAATTACCTAAAAAGGAAATGACGTCACGATTTCCTTCAAGTTACGAATGCCGGGTTGGGTGATTCAGGTAGTTTGCCCCGAAGGAATAACTAGCAATAATGGGAGTAACGAAAAAAACAACAAAAACAGGAGATGGTAAGTTGATGCCCATCGTTTAAGCTATTTTCGTTGTTAATATCTAAAACCTGTAGATATCCAATTAGTAATAAATTATCGATGTTTCAACTGGACACAGCACGCTGTGTCTCCGCATTAGCCATTACCGCCAAACCGGTCTACGACAGCTCGGGCACCTGTCTTCCGGTCCACATGGGAAGTCATAATGAGTCTGATTTAGGCATTGTCTATAAACCAAACTTGAAACGTGTAGTCCCATGTGTTCCTCGAACTATTGATATGAACCCCACGAGATGGAGTAAGCGTGGTTTTACTTATGACTAGCCTAGCAAAAACCTGGACTCCCTACATATTTTTTTCTCCAATTATTTAACTTCTAAACATCCGACTGCCAATACTTTATTAGCTATGCCCAACTAATTTTTTTTAAACCAAAAGTAATTTATTTCTTGTCATTTTCCTAGAGACTACCATAACCTGATTACAAAACAGCAATCAGAACCATGTTATCTTCAAAATTGGATTTTTACGAATTTTTTGAAATCGTGAAATTTCACAATTGTTTTTTAGCATTTTCCTGAAAACAATCAAAAAAGCGTACAAGGTCAATAACATGGTATATATGGGAGAATTTGTTTTCTCTTTTTTACCACAATTTCAGAACCAATCTATTCTATTGTAAAATGAAAGATTTCCATGCTAAATATCACCCCTCACTCCGGAGATGATGCTAAAATGTTACTTCACAAAGAGTTACCTCCCCTTACAAAACACAATGAATGACATTAATAATCTCATTTAATTATATATATTGATGCACCAGTCTCAGTGGTAATTACACATCTTCTTTCTTATCGTTCGCCTTTACACTTGAATACCAGTCTCCTCAACAAATCTGGTGGTCTTCTGTGCTAAGGGCATCCACTGGTCCACATAGCTTTTCTTTGAGTGGTAACGTTAACACTCACTCACTCACTCACTAACTGTTGGTGAATGCCATATCTTATCTCTCATGATCAGTGCCTGATGGATCTTCCATGACTGTAAGAGGTGTGCAGTATCCTGCTCTGCTTCTCCACAAGGACACATTGGAGATGAAACAACTTTCATGACTTTGTATAGATGTTGATTGAGTCTGTTGTGTCCTGTCGGAAGATGGTAGTTTGGTCAGATCTTGTTGGTGGTAACTGTCTTGTTGCTGATGGGTGTTGAACAGAGATTTGATGATAGTCTTCATCTCTGTGTAGCAGACTGGATTTTCTTCCTGTTATTGTTCAGCACCATTCTTTGCTAATTTATCGGCTTGTTCATTACCCCAAACTCCACAGTGAGAAGGAATCCACTGTAGAACTGTTGTCAGACTTTTGATGGTGTATAAAGCTTGTTCAAGTTGAGGTTAAGCTTGTCGTTTGTCAAAGCTTGTAGCACAGAGAGGGCATCAGTCAGGAATACTACTTGAGTTGTGTTATCAATTTTGTTTTTGATGGAGTGTGCAGCATGAATAAGGTCTTCTTCAACTTAGTAGTTTGAACAATGTAGGCCTGTTGGTATTGCTTCTGATTGTTGATCTCAGTTGGGGTACTTAATGTATATACCAGCCCCTCCTTTTATTGTGGCATTTGCTTACCCAGGAGTCTGAAGGGTACTTGTCTTCAAGCATACTCATTGTAATTACACATGATCTGATATGTTTTAGTCAGATAAATCATTAAAATAATATTTAAAAACAAAAAATTGTATTTGTACATGGTGTATGATCTGACAAGTTTTATTTATATAAAAAAAAAAAAATGATATTGAAAAACAAAAGCATGTCATATCAATTAGATATGTTTAATGTAAACTATGTACAGACCAACCATTGTATAGTTTTTGTATGTCAGACAACACTGAAACTCGAAATAAATTTAAATTTAGGTCTATTCAATTTCTAACTGTATCAGCGTATGTAAACTAAGTCAAGACTGAGTGACAGTAACTTAATTTAAAAGTTTAATCATTTAGAAACAAGTAAATAGTACCGAAATTTATACAAATATACATCATTTAATGTTTAAAATATATACAGAAAACAAAGAGAACAGATACCTTTACACGATAGGTAAACAACCGTTAATGCAATATCCTTCTAGCGAGTTTTGTCTGGTACAGGTGGGATTTGTTTACGTTTTCGAGGCGAGGTGTCCGCCATATTGGATTTACCGTTATACTACCCCTTGGGATTTCAACAGCATTTTTCATACCAAGAACGGTTTTGACAGATTGGCATATATATATACTTATTTTAAGGGATAATTACTGAACATTTGTATATAATTTTGATGGATGTACTCGGTTTTATAAGGAAATTGTCGCTTCTGCAATATTTCACAATCTCCGCTCCTTGCGTTTCCGCCATGATATTTGTAATATAGACTGTAGTAAAGTGACGAGGGATATCGAAGATAAAATTCCTACCATGTATCCATTTCTATAACATGGACAAGCACGATAAAATCACCGTTCTTCCGATGGTATAAAAGTGTGACGAAATTTTGGCGCGGCGCGAAAATTCAATTGGAGTTATCTCCCCTTAGCTTGGGCATAGCTAACTTTATTTTTTTCAACATTCCATATTATGAAAAGCAGTATTCAAAACATTATTTGACTGAAAATTTTAAAGCCTATGGTTCACTGACTTTGACAGTAATTTTGTCTCTGACAAATGGTTTTATTTTTGCATCTCATTAATTAATTTTCATTCTTATTGCGTTAATGCCTCATCATTATATTAATTTAAAAACTTGTTAATGAACAAATTTCTTTAATTCAATTATATTGAGTTCATTCTCGAAATAAACTAAAATGTTACAAGGACACTAAACAGGTCCAGTACATTCTGCCGATTAAGCTATATAGCTGTTAAGACCTATAATAGCTCTATTGACCTATCTGATATAGATCTTTTGAGCTATTTTCATGTGATTTTCTTTTTTAAGGAAAACGAAACAAAGTCGCTTTTAAAAGAAGATTTTATCATTAGGTAGATAACAAAAGACATTAAATTTAAGCATTCTTTTAAAAAAAAAACGTCGGGCGCCTCACAGGTGAATATTACAATCCAGTAACCTGTGCTGGAATTTTTGACCAACCAGAAGCACAGATTGTCATTGCCTCTCTGGAGAGAAAATGGCAGACAAGAGTGTAAACAAACCCGGCTTGTCAAGATTTGGAACCGTTTGGAACTGTTTGTGTATTGCGTGAATATTTGAAAGAAAAAGCAATAGACACAGACTTTGTTGACAAGCAGGCGCTCAAACTCTGCAATGTTCGAGTAGGAAAGACGGTGAGAAATATCAACGTAGTTCTCTCTTTAGTATCTGGCATGGTATCAACCGATACCTTTCAAGTGTCGGTTGTAACATGGATATAGTGCATGGCGCTGAATTTACGGAATGCAACAAATTGTTTGATGCTGCAACGAAACAACTCGAGTGTTACCGTTACACAGTACTGTATTTTTACCCTTGAAAGTTTACTTTCAATGCATATTAATTTTGTTAAGTTAAATAAATACTAAATTTGTTTGATTGAGTTTTCTCCCATTTACTCACATTACGCAGTATGGTGTTTTTGATCTTATTTACAGCTCATATAAGGTCATTTTAAATGCACAGAGACACATATTCTGTGCAGGCAGAATTTCATTGCAGGTGCCATAATCATGGCGAAATATGCTAAGTATGGGTTGGTGCTACACATGGTTAAAAGTGTAAAAATGTCATAAAATTAAACAGTTATTGACCTATTTTCAGGTAAATACGAGGATTTAATAACCCTCATATTCACCTGAAAATAGGTCAATAATTGTATATTGTTTTATGAGACTTTCCTTTAATTTAATGAAAATTGAAATCTGAGAAAATATAGCTCAAAACAGCTATAATTTATAGGTGAATATAGCTTAGTCTGCTTAAACTGACCATAATCGCAGGTCAAAAAATTCTGATCGATCGCCTGTTTATGGTCAGCTATCGACTGCTCTTTAAAATGTGGGATTGTCGTTGAAATCTGGCGACAGCGATTGTGAGAGTTTTACATGTTTGTCAGAGAAAATAATCATACATATATTAAAGTTGATTCATTTCTCACTCACTTGACTAGATGTCATGTCCGTACTCAATACAATATGGACGCTACATCGTTTTATTCAATTGAGGTGCTTTCGACTGCTCACATCGATAGCCATTTTGCCTTCAACAATATGGTGCACTAGCCAATCATAATTACTTCCGGTTAATTTGATCAAATGTCAGTGGTTTTTAGTCACCCCTGGGGGAACCCCAGCGGGGACTATTAATTTTGGTTTCAGTCCCAGATTTTGACCTCCACTGTTTCAGCTTTCGTGTGTTTGCTTCTGTCGCTAATTACAAGCTTTTGGATAACTCCGATATCGATTTTAGGAATAGATCTAACATACAACCAAAAGGCGTTCCGAATTTCAAACTAAAGATGTTCTGAATATGAATCAGTCACCTTTAAAATTTGAGGTTCCCGAAGGGGTAGACTGTTATATTATATATTGCTATTGATTGATTGAGATGTTAATGTCTGACCAATGACTATATTGGTAAAATTTCTTTTTAAACCAAATTAAATTTTGGAATAAAAAGTTCAGGTAGAAAAGCTCAATAACGTCTCTTTTTCTTTATCATCTATTCACGCAATGACAAAAGAAAACGACACCTAGCAAAAGGGCAAACTTGATTTGACATGCCGGGTTTGTGTTTGCCGCCGGCACACTACATTAAAAGCATACGCGCAATTTGGCGGACACAAACAACATTTTGTATCGCTTTGCATTTCTCTGCAGTCCGGCGAAACTTCTAATCGAACGGCAGGTGCCGAACATGCGGGATTTAAGGGACATTCGTAATCAGTAGGAAGGTGCCGCCTTCCCGGCGGTAAACGGCACGCCTGAATCAAGTTTACGACATTTATGGAAATTGTTTTATTTTTTTAACTTACATACCATTTTCAGCCGTCACATTATAATTTCAAATGGTGATATGTTATAAATAAATGCGCCATCATTCAAACAAATATTTCATCAACATTCATATCCCGCCTGACAACTTTAGGACACTTTACAACATAACACGTTACGGCAGAACTTGAAATGGAAAACCAGAAGAGTGCAGGGTCATGTAAGGTAAGTAGAACATTGCCATATTCAGAATTTATAATAAAAGCGCTCAACACCGTTTAATGTTATCGTTTCTGCGGTGTGGTGGCAGTGGTGACCTCGAGGTACCGGCAAAACATGGTATTGACATTGTATTCATTTTGAGCAAGATAAAAAGTGTATTAAGCAAAACTGCATATTTATGCATTTTTTTAATCGGTGATTAATTCTTATGTTTTCCGGACGAAGTTCCGGTAATTTTTGTGTCAATTTACAGACAATGGCCAAACGTCTAAAATATCTTTGTGTTGTGTCCAGCAGGTCACATAGTAACGAGATAAAGCTTGATAAAATGGCTGCACGGAAATACATAACGGGCGGAAACCAATGACTAGACGATATTGACAGTTTTACAAACAAATAATTTTTACTGAGAAGTATCAACTGATAATATGGAGTTAAATAACCACGAAAACAATACCAGTACAAACTAGTGATAGGGATTGGAAATTCCTTAATTATCAGCCTTTAGTTTTGGTGAAAATGATTAGCCCCAATATGCATGTTCAGTTCTCTTATATCATTCTTTTTTTGCATTTTAACAGATGAACTATCTTATCCTGGCACTTTGGCATGTTTGAATGTGGAAGGCCTTGAAATTGGGATGAAGAAGGCCAGGGAATGTCACAGAAATT